ATAATAGGTCATTCTCGTAAAGTAAATGTGTTAAATATCTCGAGTGCGCTCAAGCTCAAGCTGATATTTAGCGTGTCACGAAGACTAAATCTCTAGGATTAATTGTAGATAAAACCTAAAGTGGGATGAGCAACACAAAGTTGTAAAAAGAAAAGTTTGTGGAGGACTTAGGTCACTAAAAATGTTAAAAAATATAATTCCCCATAAAGAACTTTGCAGTGTCTACTACTCCACTGTCGAAAGTCACCTACGGTATGCTAACGTTATTTGGGGCAGCCTCCGAAAAACTAAACTTGATACCCTCCAACTTGCAGGACCGCGCTCTATCAATAATTGAAAGCGCCAAATTAAAGGAAAACTGGACATGTAAATGGTTGAGCGTTGAAAATCTCATTCGATTCGATCGATCGGTCATGACGTATAAGATTATGAAGAAATTAAGCCCAGAAAGCCTTTGGCATAAATTTCAGCAAAGATCCTCGTAATCAAACTATGCAACAAGGTACTGTAGGGTTCTGAATATTCCTAGAATAAATAAAGAGCATGTGAAAAAAAGTTTTAACCACTCTGCTCTTAAAGCCTGGAACGACGTTCCAATTGATATTAGAGATCTCCCGACTATTTGTCGCTTTAAAAAACAACTAAAGGAGTACTTGAAGAGCTGACAGATTGTCTATTTAAACACGACCCCCTGGTAGAACAGTATTTTAGATTGAAATTATTATTTTTTTAATTGAACAAATGTATTTATACTTAATTGATATTGTGTTAGGGTAGCTGATAGGTTGAATCGTGTAAAAAGAAATATTGCTACTATTATTGTTGTTTGTTCTCCGCGCGTTGCGGTCATTCCACATTTTCCACATGGTTATGAAACCCGGAAAAGTTATGAAACAATAACCATTTGTTGGCGATGCTGTTATTCAAGTAGCGACTGGCACCGTAGAATCAAATTGGTGTCAGCTGATGGTGTGATCAGACCAACTTTGGACTTAAGGACAGGTGAGTTTTTTTGGTTTATCCAGTAAATATAGTTTTAGGCCCCGTTCACACGGGAATGATTGCATACCGTTCCAATAGCGTTCCAACTTTTTAAACAAGTAAACAAACATTCCACACAGGAACAGAAAGATTACCTGCCAATTTTTTGTTCTGCACAAACATATTTAATTTACGAAGGCATGACATTAGGAAGATTTGTTCAGTCGAAATATGATAATTTAAAATAAACGATATTTCGCGAGCATATTGACAGCGATATTTTTTTAATAACATGATTCAAAGGTAATTAAAGTTTTTTAATTTATAGAACTGGGGGCAAAAAGTCATTGCTGATAGAACTTTGAAGAAAATTCAGAGATAAAAGGAAGAATTGTTGGAAGAAAGTTGCTTCCGACTATATGTTTAGTACATGAAGATGTGTATTTTGGTCTGATTGTAGAGATGTAATAGGATAAACAACTTCCTGCTGGTTGTTTCGATGTTTGTCTCTTTAAAGCATTTGCTAATAAAGGAGTATTTTTTACCTTTGTATGTGAAAGAACTGGGTTAAAGTTAACACTTCAGTTTTTTTTCAAAATTCTTAAAATATTTTCATCTTTTAATTTGGCTTTTAATTTGACTTTGTACTGTAAGGTAAGGTGATTGAATCTTTATTATCAATCGGGTGTTTCTGGCTCAGAAGAATGCTAGCCACTGCTTAAAGTTGATTGTTAAAACCTTCTGTTGGTCGGTATAATGCCCTAAAGCCTGAAGAAAGAGGGTAAATATGGTTGCACAGAATAGAGATGTCTTACACCGGATATAACAAAAGGCTTAATCCGCTATGGGCAGTATGATATTTAATAATCAGTTTGGAATCTCGTTTGGCCTTTTTGTTGAGGGCTCAGTTTATCTTTTAGCATGGCATCCCGAGTTTGGTTGGCATTCATGTTACCACTTGTACTGCAGCAATTGTTGTGGGCATTCGGGTTACAGATTAAAGAGGCAGGTACGTACAATTTATCTATACTTCGGTAGAAACCTTATTATACCTGCTCTTCGATGCTATGGACCATTTTGATTACAGTATCTTTGGGGACAAATGTTTGAGCATAAATCTTAAATCATTGTTTATTTACCATTTATTTATCTTTAATTTCTCGTGCTGATCTCAAGCGAGACTTTTAATCAAGTGCGACTCTAAATATTTTGAATTATTAACAATGTCAATTCAACGCCATCAAAAGCAAGTGATGAGGCTTTTATTCATTCCCGGCCATTTCAGGTCTGGGCAAGAACCTAAAACCAAAGCTTTATGACGTTTATTTCCCTGTAGCAATTCCTTTCACCAAAGCAGGACACGTTTAGTATTCAGACCACTGATGTTTTTCACATAAAGTATTATGCCTGTGTCATAAGCACACATTTTCATATGCATTACTGGGGAAAAACGATTAGGACTAATCGAATTTTATCAGCTTAATAGAAAACGCTGGAAAATGTAATCATCACTTTATCAAAGTCCTCGGATTGGGAGCAAATAATAACAATTCCTATTTCACTTCTTGGTAATACATAAATTGCAAGTAGAACTGCTTTCGTTTCGGCTTTTTCTGTGTACTACTTAGATCTGGAAACAAAAGTGCGATGGGATGGAATCTATGTGCTGTTCCATCCTTGTCTTGTTTTCATTTTTGGTGAGCCGAATCATAAAATCAACTTCAAAAGTTTCGGGAACAGATGCAAATGTTCGTATGAGTGTCATCAAATCCGAAATTGCTTTGTTACTTATTGCTTTTTCTGCCAATAAAGGTAAGTGTAAAAATGCCGGCTGCATTTCCTGCGCTTCTTGAGGAGGAGATAAGGGTGCAGTTATAGGATGGTCAAAGCCGCAAACCGCGTGAAATTAGGCCAAGCCGCAAATGCGCGATCTTCTCGCCAAGAATCTCCTTAAATTGTTTTCGTAAACTGTTCTGAAACGTTTGAAACTTTGTAGGGTTGCTAGAATTAATTTACTCAACATGTTTTTGGAGTCTTATGTATTTTTCTGTTTTTTGCGAATACCTGAACCACGCCCCATAGGAGTATCTGAAAGTCTTCTGAATCGTTTGAGACTTTTGAGAACTTTTATTGTCAAAATGTTTAAAGGCCACAAGGTGGACGAATACAACGAATTTTAGCGGGTCCCCTGTTTTCTTACGAGCTGTACCAACGTTCGACACTTTTTTATCTTTCGGGTACGTATGCAATTGTATCCGGGACTGTGACTGTTATTCAAACAGCCAGTACCAGCAAAACAATGTTTTCATTGAGATCGTTTTCGCTTTGTCCGATGTCTGCCATCCTTTAAAGAACACTGGTGCAGAAATACAACAGATTACTTCACAATTTTCTGACATTCTCTTTGGCCACGGTTATTTAATTGTAAAATAAGGTTTTTTAGCTTTCATGTCAGTGACACTTAGGGTAGATTTTAAATGCACGCAACTGAACAGGTGTTCTTTGAACACGCGATTTGCTTTCTTAATTTAACGATATTCCATACGATGTGAAACTAACCTTTGGTCTCCAAGTAGCGCTTCTGTTGTCAAAACGGCAAATTATACGCATAAATTATAAATGAATAAATCAAGTTGACAATGTTCCTTCGA